ATAATTTACAGTGTTCTGGGAATTCAACCCAGAAACGAACGAGTACTGTGTTTTTGCAATTTTCGAGACTAGATCTAGTGTATTAGAACATTCAAAGGGGGGTTACTTCAATTTCTTCTCTGGGAGAGGTATGGAGATTTTTTTGTAATGACCGGCCATTGTAGATTACTTTTCAAATGCATTTTTTATTGGGAAAAATCACATATACAATGATGTGTCATGTAGACGATCTTTGCAAACCAACGTTTTTTAAAGACGGAAGGGTCTATTAACGATGTGGAATTATATCAAGTACATTAATATTTCTCAGAATTCAACTTCATTCACAGAATATAAACTAAGACACATGCATTCTGCAACGAACGTGAAAATATACAACAAGCCTGCATAAGCTATATAATCTTTTTTTCTATACAGTACTAAATTCGTCCCAAACACGGACACTGTTTTTTGTTTTGGAATTTTTAGATACTTGCCAAACGAAAAATACGTAATCACCCGAGGAAAACCAGAAGATCTGGTGAAAAACCTTGGTGATTACGAGTCCGGATTCCGAAAACCCCGGGGGCAACCCTGTGCGACCGAATTAACTACAATATATACCATACCTACCAATACCTACCAATACCTACCAATATAAAAAAAAGTAAAAAATCTTGCAAGAAAAATCAAAATCAAAAAAAAAATTTCACGAGGTATTCAAAAAAAAATTGTAGACCGCCCGAAAATTCAGTCTACAGATTGCGCAAGACAAATATATCTCTTTATGAACAAATTGTTCCACATTAGGGTATATTTGTCTTAACCTTGAAACCTGAAAATATTTTAGATATGTTCAGGACAAGGTGCGTGGCAAATGAATCCAATGGCCCAACATATTTTAGGATAGTTCGTAAAAGCTGTTAGGACACTTGGATGCATTTTGAAGATGTGATGTGTGCATTTCTATATTTAGATTTTTGCGGCGCATTTTGCTTTTATTGCGCGCAAGAAAATTGCAACGCATGCATTCAATATATATTAGCATGCACTAGTTTTCATGCACTGGTTTTCATGCCCTTAATTTTACTAAGCATGCACCTTATAGCGCGTTTAATTTTTATATGCATGAAACGTTGCGCACTTAATTCTAATCAGTCAACATGCACCTTAATTTATTTTTCAAGTCAAGACTATAGAACACACGTCACTATTTGCACATGGAGTACACTCACTGACTGTACTCCGCATTACAGCAGCACGCGCGCGCCACTTATGTTAATTAGCTGCGCACGACCATGGCGTTTTTACATGATCCATGGTTCGACCAAGTTTATGTATGAACAATGCAAGACAACACGGAATGCAACATGGCAAACATTCTATATTGCTGACCATATATAAACTTGATCTGCAGAGTGTTTTCACGGCATCTATGTTTGGGAACAAGTTAAAGTGTCGAAATACAAGTAAACAAGAAAACCATTATTTCAAAATACTTGTCCGTCAACAAAGCAACACGTGAAAACACCCTATTTTCCTGGCGGTCTTTCCAACTGAAAACTTATAGTATAATTTATAAAGCGCGCGCGCAATGCATTAGCAACCTAAAGAAACGAGCCTATTCTCCACTTTGGAGCGAGAACTACGTTTCTTATCGTTAAGCCCCTAGTCCAAGATATTTTAGGCAGAAAAAGTGTTTCTTTTTTGTTGTTTTTTTTTCTGCTACGAGTATTCTTGGACTATTGTTGCTTATATTCAAAGTGGCTTTTCGGTTTTATTTTTTATTTTCCTCTTTTTGCAATATTTTCGTTTTTTCCACTTTGAATTGGTTCTGTAAGTACTTTTCAACAGGAAACAGATTCCATTTTCCTGTTGTGTTAAATACTTCTCAGAATGTAACTGGCGCAAAAGTATGCCAATGATAATGAATTATTGTATACATGCCTTATAGTACGCGTGCAAAGCGCCCTATTTCTAGCTGCCTAACCTTCCTAACTAGTGCGCGCGCGCATATAACCTTTCAAAAACCTGCAAGGGAAACCCCCGAATGTGGAGTCTCGGTCATGCCCCTAGCTTAATTAACTTAACCTAGTGTGCCGATCGCACCTGGTGAGCTTCCACAAACAGGGGTAAGGTTTGCATGCCTTATGCTAATGTCTTCCATCGTCGAACCGCCATAACAGAGTGGGGACCCTAATCTCTGGTAGCGAACTGTTTTCATAGTACACGGGGCAGAAAACTAACGTTCGAAACCAGCGATATACATGCACTACGGGCGATGAAAGATGATACACCTTTCCTTTATTATTCACTAAAGCCTATAGACTGTTTATCATTACAATAACTATGTCATTACAGTCCTAAGCTGATCTTTCTGTAGGTGGAGACCGGAGTACCCGGAGGCTATCCACATCTTTGAAAAAATCTTGTCCAGAAGTATCCACCAATCTTCTTACGGGTACCATTTGCACCCTCTAAGCTATGGATACCATTTGCACCCAGTTTAGTTATCCTGCCCAAGGAAAACTATGCCAGCTTTTCAACAAAATTTTGGCTACACCCATATATTACGTACACAAATATACAGATCATGTAATGGATTAAGGTTAAGGTTATAGGGTTAGATTTAACCCCAAGCCAAAGCCCAACACATTTCATGATATTTCTATACATTTATGAACGTAACACATCGATATAAACAAGATTTTAAAGTCTGTCAAAGTTTTACTTATCTGCCTACAGTATATTCTGGATACTAGCTGCGCGCTGCGTTCATCCATGCACAGACGCCTAAGCAGTACATTTACACAAAGAGAACAACATTGGCACGAACAGACCGCAAAAAGCTAGTGGGTCTCACTACGAGTTACCAGAGTGAAAAAATAATGTCCACTCTTTTTTACTTTATGTAGTAGTCTTGTATTTGAAGGCAAAGAAATCGCTCCAGCAAGTATTTGAAGAAAATAAATTCTCCATTGCCTGGATTGTAACACTTAATGAAACCCACCAATAACCGAACCGAGTGCATGCAAAGAACCACGTGACCGGAAGCTCAAATGTTAACCTCTTAAGATTGACTTTCGATTGCAGATGATGTCGAAATTCTGATTAACTGAGGTCATTCAATATCTCATTTTTTATTAGCATGCAAACATCCCAATAAAAATCAACCTTGCGTGCAAATGTACTACTAACCACAGACCGCCAGGAATTTTAAACCGGTTTACCCAGAGATTTCGCCGACCACATGCAAATTAGAGTCTTGGGTATGAATCCTACAGATATACTGCCTGTTAGCAGGCTAACTACTGCCTGATAGCAGGCTAACTACTGCCTGATAACAAGTTAATAACTGCTTGTTATCAGACTAAACCCTCTAACCTTGAGGCAGTCATCTCGTTGCCGCCGTGCAGCTTTCGTTGTCAAGATACATTAGTAGGTAACCGTCGATCGCGAGGTACATTTTATACACAATGTTCATAATAATCCATAAGTGTTCGTTGCAATCCAATCAAATATCTCCAATAGTACACAGTGTCACAATAATCCGTATTTATCCATTGGTATCCGCTACGACTCCCACTGGACCTCCCATCCCACACCTCAAATGACGTTTTAGTCAGTTTTATTTTTTTTGGTCAGTATTCTTAATACAATTATAGTATCTACGAAAAACGCATTAACTAGTCAAAACCCATGAAATTCTTGAAAGATTAAACCTCAAAGAATGTTTATATTAAAGATATTCAAGCTAAAATCACAAAGTCTACATCAAACTGATAACGGGAAAACGCTGGATAAAGCCATACAGACAAAAAGCCGGCCACAAATCAAAGTTTGGTGGTACTTCCGCTTGATCTTTCCAGGCCTACGGGCGAGCTGTCCCAATCTCATGCCACGAACAAAAAGCACAAACGCAAGGTTGGCCAGACCTTACATTTGCGCTAGTTGATCACGACAATCAATCAGAGCAACTCAACTGTAGGTCGGGAAAGACCGAGCCGAAGTATCACCGAACTTCGACGAATGATCGACCACTCATCTGGCATGATTTTACCTAGCGTTTAACCCAAATATCAAAGTGATGTAAACTTCAAAATTTCATTTCAAATATCTTTCAAATAAACAAACTCCCAGATAGAAACTTCCGAATTTCAAACATTTCGATTTCGTTAAAAGAGCTTTTCACAAATACCAAGAAATGTAGAAAATTTGAATAAATTGCGAAATTAAGGAAAATGTGCCATATTTCAATTTGTTTTGTGCATTTGGGCGTCTTCAGGGTGGTCCCCCTACGTACTTTCGAACATGAGCAACGAGAATCACGAGGGAAATATACCTTCTGTAATTTACATCTTTCACGATGGTATGGCGTATTGGTTAGGGTCTCTGGATGGTACGGCAGAGACAGTCCGAGTATGTTATCATATGCTTTCCTTACTGTCTCTGGATGAGTGGCATCTCTTCCAAACTTTGCACTGTAGACGAAATCTGACGATGAATGCTGTGAGTTCGCAAAGGAATCGGAGCTGGTGGCTGGTCCCATTTGTGCTTTGCCTTCTCGTCTTTCTTATTTTGCTTCGACTGTAAGGCGAGCGTCTCTTCAAATCTGTGCAGAGGTCTTTCTGTACTGTTTGCCATCGAAATGATCGACTTTGAGGCAGTCTAAAAAATTGAACAATTCATGTTAGTTTCAAAACAGCTAAGAGCTATTTAATGTATTTACACAGGGTGCGGTTGTCCAACTCAATTTATTTTAATTTTAAAGAATGCGTGCATTTAATATGCATGAAATTAGGGCAAGAACCACGAGGACGTTTCTTCTCTAAATTTCGTAAAAATATTGGATGAAATACAACTTTGACAACCTCAAGTAACTCGAAAAGCTTAGCTTCCCTCTCAGAGAACAATTTGTACATAAACGACAAGTTTGTAAAAGCTAAAATGTTCGAACATGCATGATATGCCATGCACGCCTGCATGTGAAATTGAACATGCCTAAAATACGAACTCCAATATTGTAACTAAACTTTACTCAGAGTGTTCGTAAGGCCACAAAGCAATGCTAGAAGACTTCTAGGTGTATTGGGGAAGCTCAGTTGAAAACGAGAAACAAACAAGAAGGAAACGCCTTTAATGGACATTATGCTTACCAAGTGCTTCGGCATTTCGACCATGTCGGCGACTTAAATTAGTTCACTTTCTCTTCAAATTTTCGCCCTGAAATTGCAGATAAACTAAATATGAGTTAAATGAATCAAAGCTGGGGTATTTCTGAACATTACTGCTAGGAAATTAGGGAGGGACACTGAAAAAATAAAGCGACTGAGCGCTGAAACGAAGCGCTTGAATGGGACTCAAATTCAATAGTACTACAATGAATGTAGACACGTGTTTTAAAAGACAGCAATAACTTAACAAGAACAACTCAAAAACGTTTAAAAAGTAGCTAAATTTAATACTGACCTTTCCCTCTGCATAGCATAACGATTTTATTTCGAAAACGTTTCATAAAAGCGACGTTTTGCACCAACTTTAATGTGTACTTCCCTGAGCTTCGAGTCAGAATGACGCCTCAAAGCCTCGAGCAGAAATATTTAAATTTGCCACGAATGAGTAAACCACACCCTTGTTTGGTGTCGGTCAGATTTTTACGAGCTCTGATTGGTTTAACTTGGAAAAGCTTTGCTATCATTGGCTACTGCTAAAAGTAAGCATTGGTCTGAACTCCCTTGAGGATTAAATACGGTCGCTTGGAATGTTTAATTATTTGAATATACAGGGTGTATCAAAAAAGCGCAACCTCGGAATTTCCCAAGAAATCCACATTGTTTTAAAGACAAAAGATTTTAGGCGCCTGGGAATTTAAAATAGCACAACTGTCAAAATTACTGCACACGCGAGTGCATAAAGCAAAATTTATGCATTTATTTAATGCACAACAACAGTAATATGATCTATTAACAATCCGATTTCAATTCCCAGGGGCCCAAAATCTTTTATGCTTAAGAATTGCAAAGTGATTTCTTAGGAAATTCCGAGGTTGCGTTTTTTTTTGATACACCCTGTATAACTTGTTTACACGTTTGAAGCTGAGGTCCATTGATACCTTTTAAGTTAGGTCTTTGGTTATTGAATCATTCATGGATGCATGAACGAATTATTTTATCTGCTTTTGTTTTGAAAACTTGATTTTGCCAATAAACTGTTTCTATAACAATAGGCTGCATGCAGAGCAAGGGGAATAATTACTTTGTTGTCTTACAAGGACTAGTAAATCCTACTGTTCTCCATGGAAGCAGCCACAATTCTTCTCTGGAAGCAGCCACAATTCTTCTCTGGAAGCAGCCACAATTCTTTTCAAATAATTTTTCAACTAATAATTTCAGTACAATAGGAACTTTAAGATTGACGTTTACAGCGAACTGCTAACCGCAAACAGTTCAATTAAATCGTAACTTGAAGTCAACTGTTAACTGTTCGAAATTAGGGCAACTTGTGCACTAAAATTGAAGCATGCATTAGCTACTTTTTGCCTTACTTTCAAATGAGATTTGAAGTTCGCCATTTGCCATAAACGTTAATCTTAAAGCAGTCCCTAATGATAAAAATATCACCGGAATAACACCAACACACGACAAATTAAAATTTGAATCTTTATTGTTAAAACTAAATCTGCAAAACCCGGAATATGAAGAGTCGGAATCTGTAAAAACCCGGAATGAGAAAAGCCGGATCTGTAAAACCCGGAATGGAAAACGCCGGAATGTATGAAACCCGGAATGAGAAAAGACGGAATCTGTAAAACAACGGAATTCGAATGAGAAAAGCTGCAATCTGCGGTAAAACCAGAAAAGCCGGCAGTCTGTAAAACAAGGAACGGAAATGACTGCAGATTTCCATTTGACGGAAATTCCGGAAATCTTGCTTGAAAATCAAATGGAACACGTTGAAGATTCGGGGGTTTTCAGTTCCGAGTTTGAAGATTCGGGGGAGGGGTGGTGTTTCAGTTCCGAGTTTGAAGATTCGAGGCGTTTTCAGTTCCGAGTGTAAAGATTCAGGGCTTTTCAGTTCCGAGTGTAAAGATTCGGGTTTTTTTTAGTTCCAAAGTTTAAAGATTCGGGGGGTTTTCAGTTCCGAGTTTAACTTGAAGATTCGGGGGTTTTTCGATTCCTGATTTTCAAGATTCAGGGGTTTTTAGATTACGAGTTTAACGATTCGGGTTTTTTTTAGTCCCGAGTTTAAAGATTCGGGGGTTTTTGGATTCCGAGTTTAAAGATTCGGGGGGTTTTAGATTCCGAGTTTAAAGATTCGGGGGGTTTTGGATTCCGAGTTTAAAGATTCGGGGGGTTTTGGATTCCGAGTTTAAAGATTCGGGGCATTTTGGATTCCAAGTTTAAAGATTCGGGGGTTTTTGGATTCCGAGTTTAAAGATTCGGGGTTTTTTGGATTCCGAGTTTAAAGATTCGGGGGATTTTGGATTCCGAGTTCAAAGATTCGGGGGTTTTTGGATTCCGAGTTTAAAGATTCGGGGGTTTTTGGATTCCGAGTTTAAAGATTCGGGGGTTTTTGGATTCCGAGTTTAAAGATTCGGTGGATTTTGGATTCCGAGTTTAAAGATTCGGGGGTTTTTAGTTCCAAAGTTCAAAGATTCGGGGGTTTTTGGATTCCGAGTTTAAAGATTCGGGGAATTTTGGATTCCGAGTTTAAAGATTCGGGGGATTTTGGATTCCGAGTTCAAAGATTCGGGGGTTTTTGGATTCCGAGTTTAAAGATTCGGGGCATTTTGGATTCCAAGTTTAAAGATTCGGGGAATTTTGGATTCCGAGTTCAAAGATTCGGGGGGTTTGGATTCCGAGTTCAAAGATTTGGGGGGTTTTGGATTCCGAGTTTAAAGATTCGGGGGATTTGGGATTCCGAGTTTAAAGATTCGGGGGGTTTTCAGTTCCGAGTTTAAAGATTCGGGGGTTTTTAGATTCCAAGTTTAAAGATTCGGGTTTTTTTAGTTCCGACTTTAAAGATTCGGGGGTTTTTGGATTCCAAGTTTCAAGATTCGGATTTTTTTTTAGTTCCAAAGTTTAAAGATTCGGGGTTTTGGATTCCGAGTTTAAAGATTCGGGAGTTTTCAGTTCCGAGTTTAAAGATTCGGGGTTTTTTTAGTTCCAAAGTTTAAAGATTCGGGGGTTTTTGGATTCCGAGTTTAAAGAATCGGGGGTTTTTAGTTCCCAAATTTAAAGATTCGGGTGGTTTTCAGTTCCGAGTTTAAAGATTCGGGGGTTTTCGGATTCCGAGTTTAAAGATTCGGGGGTTTTTTAGTTCCAAAGTTTAAAGATTCGGAGGTATTTTAGTTCCAAAGTTTAAAGATTCGGGGGGTTTTGGATTCCGAGTTTAAAGAATCGGGGGGTTTTAGTTCCAAAATTTAAAGATTCGGGTTTTTTTCAGTTCCGAGTTTAAAGATTCGGGGGTTATTTAGTTCCAAAGTTTAAAGATTCGGGGGTTTTCAGTTCCGAGTTTAAAGATTCGGGGGTTTTTAGTTCCAAAGTTTAAAGATTCGGGGTTTTGGATTCCGAGTTTAAAGATTCGGGAGTTTTCAGTTCCGAGTTTAAAGATTCGGGGCATTTTGGATTCCGAGTTTAAAGATTCGGGGGTTATTTAGTTCCAAAGTTTAAAGATTCGGGGGTTTTCAGTTCCGAGTTTAAAGATTCGGGGGTTTTTAGTTCCAAAGTTTAAAGATTCGGGGTTTTGGATTCCGAGTTTAAAGATTCGGGAGTTTTCAGTTCCGAGTTTAAAGATTCGGGGCATTTTGGATTCCGAGTTTAAAGATTCGGGGGTTATTTAGTTCCAAAGTTTAAAGATTCGGGGGTTTTCAGTTCCGAGTTTAAAGATTCGGGGGTTTTTAGTTCCAAAGTTTAAAGATTCGGGGTTTTGGATTCCGAGTTTAAAGATTCGGGAGTTTTCAGTTCCGAGTTTAAAGATTCGGGGCATTTTGGATTCCGAGTTTAAAGATTCGGGGGTTATTTAGTTCCAAAGTTTAAAGATTCGGGGGTTTTCAGTTCCGAGTTTAAAGATTCGGGGGTTTTTAGTTCCAAAGTTTAAAGATTCGGGGTTTTGGATTCCGAGTTTAAAGATTCGGGAGTTTTCAGTTCCGAGTTTAAAGATTCGGGGTTTTTTTAGTTCCAAAGTTTAAAGATTCGGGGGTTTTGGGATTCCGAGTTTAAAGAATCGGGGGTTTTTAGTTCCAAAATTTAAAGATTCGGGGGTTTTTCAGTTCCGAGTTTAAAGATTCGGGGTTTTTTGGATTCCGAGGTTAAAGATTCGGGGTTTTTTTAGTTCCAAAGTTTAAAGATTCGGGGGTTTTTGGATTCCGAGTTTAAAGAATCGGGGGTTTTTAGTTCCCAAATTTAAAGATTCGGGTGGTTTTCAGTTCCGAGTTTAAAGATTCGGGGGTTTTCAGATTCCGAGTTTAAAGATTCGGGGGTTTTTTAGTTCCAAAGTTTAAAGATTCGGAGGTTTTTTAGTTCCAAAGTTTAAAGATTCGGGGGGTTTTGGATTCCGAGTTTAAAGAATCGGGGGGTTTTAGTTCCAAAATTTAAAGATTCGGGGTTTTTTCAGTTCCGAGTTTAAAGATTCGGGTGGTTTTCAGTTCCGAGTTTAAAGATTCGGGGGTTTTTAGTTCCAAAGTTTAAAGATTCGGAGGGTTTTTAGTTCCAAAGTTTAAAGATTCGGGGGGTTTTCAGTTCCGAGTTTAAAGATTCGGGCTTTTTTAGTTCCAAAGTTTGAAGATTCGGGGTTGTTTTAGTTCCAAAGTTTAAAGATTCGGGGGGTTTTCACAATCTGTAGGAACTAAGGTAGTATTCGACAACAAGCTGCCGTGGTTTGTGTCTGAACTACCGGTACCTGAAAAAGATATGTCAAACGTGTTGGTCCAGTGTAGGTAGTATTCTACGATAATAAGCTGCCGTGGTTTGTGTCTGAACTACCTGAAAAATATAACTCAAACGTGGTGGTCCGGTGTAGGTAGTATTTTACAATAAAGCTGTCGTGGTTTGTGTCTAACTACCTGAAAAATATATCTCAAACGTGGTGGTCCAGTGTAGGTAGTATTCTACAATAAGCTGTCGTGGTTTGTGTCTGAACTACCTGAAAAAGATATCTCAAACGTGGTGGTCCAGTGTAGGTAGTATTCTACAATAAGCTGTCGTGGTTTGTGTCTCACTACCTGAAAAAGATTGAAACGTGGTGATGTGAAAGTGAGAAAGGCTGTAATCTTTAAAACCTGGAGTGAGAAAAGCCGCCGTAAGGGAAAGTACATTTATTATGCCGAGGGGGGGGGGGATGAAGATGTCTTGAAAAAGGCTCATATTTTTACAGGGCCCTGTTGAGGATATTGGTAAATTTACGATGCCCCGCCCCCCAAGTTTTTAAAATTTTCAATGCCCCCGCCAGAATCCGGAATCGAAGGAGTACAATCCGGAATTCTCTCTTATCGCAGATACAAATTGCAGTTCCTCAAGATGTCTGATATACTCAAGCACGCGCTTCTCCTCAACAAAAATACCGACTTGCTGCTTCTTT